AGACCCAACAAATTCCACCAAAAGACTTCTAGACTTAATTGACACTTTTAGCAGAGTAGCTGGATATGAGGTCAACACTCAAATAGCCTTCTTGTACACAAATATCAGACTCACTGAGCAAGAAATTAAGGAAACAATTCCTTTCACAATAGCACCCAAAAAAGTAAAGTATCTAGGAATTAATCTAGCAAAAGAAGCAAAAGACCTCTACACTGAAAACTACAGCACTCTGAAAAAAGAGACCAAAGAGAATATAAGAAAATGGAAAGGTATCCCCTGCTCCTAGGTAGTGAAAATGGCCATACTACCAAAACTGCTATACAAATTCAATGCAATGCCAATTGAAATTAAAACACTGTATTTCACAGAACTAGAAAAAAGAATCCAAAAATTCATTTGGAACCATAGAGACCTAGAAGAGCAAAAGCCATTCTAGGCAACAGATACATGGCAGTGGGTATAACAATTCCCAATTTGAAACTATACTACAAAGCCACTATGATAAAAACAGCATGGTACTGGCAAAGAAACAGACCTGAGGATCGGTGGAATAGATTGGAAGATACAAAAGCAACTCCAGATGTACTCAGCTACCTCATTTTTGACAAAGGATCCAACCATCCTCACTGGAGGCAAGGTAGCCTCTTTAATAAATGGTGTTGGAAAAACTGGATTTCAACCTGCCAAAGATTAAAATTAGACCCTTATCTTTCACCATGCACTAAACTAAAATCCAAGTGGATTAAAAATCTAAATATTAAAAAAAGAGTCACTAAATCTGCTGGAAGATAAATTAGGCAGAACTCTTGAAGATACTGGCATAGAAAAAGACTTTATGAACAAGTCCTCAGTGGCAAGGGAACTAACAGAAAGAATCAACAACTGGGATCCCATCTTATTAAAAAGCTTCTGCGCTGCAAAAGAAACCATCAACAGAACTAAAAGACAACCTACAATGTGGAAAAACATTTTTACCAGCTGCTCCTCAGACAAAGGCCTACTATCTAGAATATATAAAGAAATCAAAAAAAGCAGCCCCCCCCAAATACAAAGACCAGATTCAAAAATGGGCATCTAAAATGAACAGACATTTCTCAGACAAGGAAAAGCAGCAAGTAAATATATGAAAAAATGTTCCATATCACTGGTCACTCAAGAGATGCAGATGAAAACACTGAGATTCCACCTCACCACACAAAGAATGGCTGCTATCAAGAAATCAACCAATAACAAATGTTAGCAGGGTTGTGGAGAGAAAGGAACGCTTGTCCATTGCTGGTGGGAGTGCAGACTGGTGCAACCACTATGGAAATCAATATGGAGATACCTCAAAGAGCTGGGACTAGCGGTTTCACTTGACCCAGCCATCCCTCTGCTGGGTATCTTTCCAAAAGAATTAAAAGAATCATATCACAGTGATATATGTGCACCTATGTTTATAGCGCACAGTTTGTAATAGCTAAAACTTGGAAACAGCCCATTTGCTCATCAGTTGAGACTGGATAAAGAAGTTGTGGTTTTTCTATAAAATGGAATACTACTCAGCCATAAAGAATAAGAAATTAGATTCATTCATAGGAAAATGGATACATATTGAAGATACACTCCTAAGTGAAATAAATAAGTCACACATGTGTAAATACCAAATAGTTTCTCTGGTGTGAAAAATTATAATGGTATATTAGATCCTAATGATATAATTGACAATGTGAAATAGGCAGAAAAGGGCTAAAGGTATAGGGGAAGTGCGAAGGGTAGGGGAAAGGTAATAAGGGAAAAGAAATAAATAGGAGAAAATGAAAAAATGGAAATAAAGTGTTTGTAAATGGGGAGTGGAGCAGGGGGTGAAGGGAGGGCAGGGACAAGGGGAAAAAATGAGAACCAAGACCTGTCCTGTAAAGGTACAAGATCCCAATGATGAATGTAACTGTGCTGTATACTTAAAATGTACCAATAAACTCAATGGAAAAAAAAAGAAATGTCAATGTACAGAGCCAGTAATTAAAATATATTTTAAAATAGGGGAAAAAAGAAAAGCTTCATAAAGTTTATATAGCTCTTGCATGTCTATTAAGACAATGCTATTATGTGGTCAAAGAATGACCAGACCTGAAGCAGAATTTTTAAATTTCATCAAAGCATTTCTAAAAAGTAAGCTTTTGAGGAGGGGGTGGGAAATAATCTAAGACTTAGGTATGATTTTTTTTAATTTATCAATGTCTGTAAGCAAAAACTGATCATGGAGAAGAAATAAAATCTACACAAGTAGGTTTTGCAGCCAGGGTCCATTTTCTGGAGACTTCTGCCTCTTGCTGAAAAGAAGGTGAAATGCTGAGCAGAGAATTTTGAAAGCTTTACAGTCTAGAAGAACAAACTTCCTCTTATAAAATGCTCCATATTTAAATTAAGACCCCAAAGTGCTAAGGCCTAGAAAGAAGTATAAACTAGAAATGGTTCCACCATCTCAGAAGCAGAAAGTCTGTCTCATGTCGTATTAATTTCTACAATTAGAATGAGATGATGTGGAACCACTGGCTAAGGGATCTTGCCAAGCGAAAATACACAATTAAGAAAATATAGGCTTTCATATTTTTTCATGTGTCTTGCATAGCACTTTGAAAGTAACTGGGCAACATAATTAAAGAAATTAGAGAAATAAGGGACAGCAGATTTATAGATACAGGGAGCCCAGATGATGAAAATATTATATATAGATGTGTAAGCCTTTATTAATATGTTCAAAAAGATCAGAAAATTAATAACTCTGACAAACTGAAAGAAATTCAATATAAAACCAAGCATAATTTTGGACATGGGAAATACAACAACTGCTATTTAAAACTATATGATGAGGGCCGGGGATGTAGTTCAGTGGTTCCACTGTGTGCCTCACAAGTGCAAGGTCCCAAGTTCAATCCCCAGTACCAAAAACAAAAACAAAAAAAAAACTATATGATGAATATAAAATTAGATTATACATAGCAGAGAAAAGAGTTAATGAACTAGAAGGAAAATTGTAATAAAATAATCAAAAAATGTATGGAGAAATAAACCTATAGAAAAATGTAAGAGATACAGTGAGAAGTTCTAACAAAAGATAGAAAACAAAAAAAAAATGAATGTGGTAGGAAAATGAAGGAATTCCAATGTTTCCAAGCAAATCTCTTTCAGGGCAGGTTAAATAACTAACCTTAGCAGTAACTTCTGCAACCATCAATACTAAAAGAAAATAAAATGATAGCATTCTCAGCCACAGTCCAAGAATTTTATAATTAGCCTAATTAGCATTTTCCTGAATTCCAAAGCAAACTGTAGAAATTATTCTCCTGGTAAACTACCTGAACTAAAAGAAATTAGTATGAAATATATGATAGTCATATTAGCATGTTTTATTTTGCTAGTGGTGAAAATGGTTATTTCTCCTGGATTTAAGTAGCTCTTCAAATACTGTATTACTTTTTTTTTTGCTTTAGTGCTTACAAATATGATAATTTATTAGTCTATAAAATTTAAAGCAAAAAAAATCTTACAATTACTTTGCTAACCCTTTAAGTATTACTACAGTTTTAAGGAATCAGACATAAATATTTGGTACAGGACACTATGTAGTATTTTTATCAAACTAAGTGTGACCAAGAAGTAACTGACAAGAGGAATTTTTCCCAGGGATGGTGGTACTGGCTAATCAATTAGAAATAAACTCAATCCTTGTGAAATTTTTATTTGTAAAATCCAAACTTTAATATTAAAATGCTTAATTCATAAAGACACACTCTCAAAAGCTGCTGATAAAAACATGGCAATCCCTGAGCACTATAGAAAGATGTATCATGTAAAAGCTAATTAACCTAAGGTTTATTTTGGATTCCATTTGATATAGCATAGGATGCATGCGATTGAATTAGTGTCCCGCAATGTGTGCTTTTGAAGTTGTTGGAAATCCAATCATAAATTGTTTAACTCATTTTACAATGAATATCTGCAGTATACTGTTTGGTGCCAAAATTAACTTGAAAAGATTCATTTACTTCTAAAAGATGAGATATTTACTACCCAGTCTGTAATTAAATGCAATCCATGCTAGAAAATTTTTCCAATACTTTCTTCGTAATGTTCATTTCCCAGACTAACTCACAAGGGGAGAATATTTATTTGCCACACAGTGCTTTTGGATAAGTGTGATTTATTTTGATCAAGATTGATGAAATTTGTTCAATAAAATAATACATAAATGAAATGACCTTTATAATTCCAACATATTGTAAAGGTCGAGATCCCACATCCTTCCTGGGTTAACTGGATCACAATAACAATGGCTTTTTTTATACCATGTGATATTGCCATTATTGTACATAGAATAAAATTTAATGCTGCAATAATTGCAGAGGCAACTCGTAAGAACAATGATTTAGAAGACTATTTCCTTTAGAAAGAACTTTTCCCGTTGATGAACAGAGAGAAAACAAATACCAAACCTGGCCAAAGAGCATAGTTCATGTAAGTATCAACAGACAAGAGGTCAACAACCCTAGCTCTAGAACCCAAAACAAGGCTTGCAAATCAGGACAAAAGTCAAGCTAAAATAGGTAAGCAGCCCAGTGAAGAGTCTTTCCACATATTAGCACAAAACTATTAGCTGAACAAGGATATTGGGCAATCTGTCTCTATTATGAAAGGAGAACTGAACAGTAGCCTTGGCTTTAAGAGGATGTCAATGGGAGTCAGCAGGTTACTCTGCATTCATCAAGCAGTAGGTCATATTTGCCCCTTAGACAATGTCAGGACAATATTTTCAATGTTATTATAAAGATTTGGGGTTGATCTAAATCTTTCCTTGAATGTACTTCTTAATAAAAGTAATCTACTAGATGTAAAAGGCAAACAAAACAATTCTACTAAAGGCAGAGTTTGCCACTTCTGACTAAACAGACTCATGACCACACGTACATTGTGGATAGTGACTGATTAAAGTCTAGAGGACTACTTTAGAAAACACCTACATTTTAGGCAGTCAAAGGCTTCCTGTCATTGGAAGGAATAGCGCTCAAACACCCTTGCTGGGGCTGAAGATGTACCTTCGTGGTAGAGTGTCTAGTATGCATGACCTGGGTTGGATCTCCAGCACCTCAAAAAAAGAAAAAAAAAATCTTTGGTTAATGAGTATCCACCCTCTCTGGAAGGCATCTGGAAAAGGGAACTTTTATGGTTTATAGTTCTGCTTTATTTTTCCCATTTTAATAAAAAAAATTAGTTATGTAACACATATATAGAAATCAAACCTTAAAAATTGTAAAATGACACTAGTTAAAAAAAAACACTTCCAACACATCTGCCCAGTTCTACAAACACACCACCAGCACCACTACATCTTTTACAGCAGCAAAGAACCATCACTATGAAAGTCCTGTTTGCTTTTCCAGGGATTTGGGGCCTATAAAACAAATGCAAACAAAATCTTTCATGTTTCACTTTGAAAGAATTCTACTGTTGAGAAAATATTAATCTTCATGAGTCTAACCTTGCTTTTATGATGAACATAAAAGTTATAGTAATCATGTTCAAAGACACTATAATTAACTCTGAACATATGTGAATGTACACTAACTATATGTTTTATAGTTATTAGGTTACAGTATTCTTTCAAAAATCCCATAATGCAAGTATTATCATTATAGCATTGTGAAATACAAAACTGATAATTTAGTCACTTGCTACATATGGTAGCAAAAGCAAAACCAAAAACCTCTAACATCTATTCTTCTTTCCATCTTCCCAAATGCTTAAAGCTACTCTCATTTTTCTTCCTTCTCCTAAATCTTCTGTGATCACCTTTAAAGGTATCACTTATCTAATATTTAACCTCACAGTTCCTTGCTCTCTCGTTGGAAAGAGAACAGACTTTGGAGACAGACCACTCACTAGCTATGTGAGCATGGATTCTTTTCTTGTTTACCTCGAAGTGAGAAATGGGTTAGGATGTAATGACTATGAAGGAGAACAAAATGGAAAAAATTTTGTAGACTTTTTCAATCAAAAATTTACAATATTGAACCATAAATAAGGCTTCTACTTCATTGTTTTTTGTCCTTTTTTAAATATTCTCTGGTGATTCATCTAGACCCTTGTCATTTTGTTCCTAATCTTATCTATCACCCTTATTCTCAACATAAACCTGTACATATGTTTGAAACCAATAAAAAAGCTGGCGAATAAAAGATAAAAAAAGAAAATGGATTTTCCACATAGGAAACAATAATCCAAAATTTAAAACTCAAAGTATGACCTCAATATTACAATGAGGAAACAGAAAAATTAGTGAACTGAAAGATAAAATCATCCTACCTGAAAACAGGGAAAATAGAATTTTTAAGAAGATTCTTAATTACTAACTGGATAATAAAAGATCTACCATTCATCTTATTAGAGTACTGGAAAAAGAAGAAAAAGAACAAGATTGAAAGAGAAATCAATAAAGCAGATGATAAAAACTTCCCAAATTTGACAAAAGATGTAAATCTGCAGAATCAACTTTGAGAAAGCATCAAACGAGATAAACTCAGAGAAATCACACACCAAGATACATTACAGTCAAACTTGTAAAAACTAAAGATATTCTGGTGTGGTGATGCACATCTATAATCCCAGCTACTTGGAAAGCTAAGGCATGAGGAATACAAATTCAAAGCCAGCCTGAGCAATTTAGCAATACCCTGTCTCAAAATAAAAATTTTAAAAGGATGGGAATATGTCTCCCTACTCCTTGGATTCAATTCTCAGTACTACACAAAATAACTAATAAATAAATAAAACAAAAGAATTCCAAGGCCGAGAACCAGGGCCTTTGGTCTTTCCGACATCTGTGTCTTTTCAGAACGTCCTTCACCAGGTCCTGTACTTGACCTGAGCAGGC